AAAACATTTGTCAGTATAAAGCAAGCAATTAAAGAAATACTATAATTTGTTTCAGCTGTATCTCATTTGAGGACACTTTTTTATGCAAAGACATTCCTGTCCGTTTTTCGTAACGTAACTAACCAAGATTGCATGTTCCACAACAACTCACAAAACATTTCGAAATTATTTTGTCTAAGGTTGTGTTATAGGACCTGGTCAGATGAATTAATGATGCAAAAATGGAGAATGGAGAACTTACGATGCATCGCTACAATGCGTCGCAGCTGCGATGTGTCCTGCGATCCATTTCACAAAACATGTCGTAAGTGCGACGCGTCGTAGGTGTATTTATAGCACAACTCGGTGACTGTTTTATGTCTTTAGTCAGCGTACAGTAAATAGTCGTCTGATATTCAACAAAGAGTCGTCGGATCTCAGCTCGAAATTTGTAAAAATGGCGGTCGTGCGATGCAATTTTGAAGGAAAACAAGCTCTCAGTGGACTGTATAGCTACTTTGAAATTTCAACTGCAATATTCCAGTCTAATTCATAATTATTCAACGAATTTTCCATACAACTTTACACACATTGCCTCGGTATTATAATCTCGTTTATGTAATGTTTATGGCATTAAACTGGCTAAGAAAGGGACTCTTCTAATTTGCGATGACTATACTACTACTAGACACGTCGTAACTTGCAACGTGTTTTAAGCCGTCGTCAAGGAACTTACGACGCGTTCAACACATCGCAACTTTCGTGAAATGGATGATACGACACGTCGCGAGTTGCGACGTGTTACACGTTGTAGTGATGCATCGCGTTGTGATGCATCGCAACACTTTGTGAAATTGGGTGCTGGTTGAAACAAGAGCCAAAGAGTGGCGCTACATTGCTTAAAATGTAACGAAACTAACCGTGGAATTGCCAAGATACAAACAACTTGATGAGAAAGAAGACACATGATGGAAAACCATCAAGTAGGCTTAAACATTACACATTTGTACACTTATGTACACACACACTGAAGACCAGTTATATTCAAAATGTGCCTGTAGTTAAGTCCTTCAAGAGAAACCCATCCACACAATCTATTCTACACACACAAAGGCTAAGCACTCAGGGACTTGAAAGCCGCATTATTTGTCCACCATTTGAATATGGATCCAGAGCTGTTTGGCAGACTGGTCTTCCTTTAAGCCGGGAACAATGGCGGACAGCGACAAGAGAGCACGTCTTAAGAGAGTTGTATTGACTTGTGCTCAGGGAAACGAGCGGTATACATGAGAAACACAGATCGAAGTGGTGGAGTGGATGTCGCGCCAATGTCATTTTTCTTCTTCTGCGTCATGTTTTTCTTCTGCGCCTGATGTTCTTTTTAGATGTTTGGCCTCGCGATGGCGTACGGTACATTTGGCAACTAATAGAACAGTTCGACATCAAGGCCCAGTGCTCTGGAATAAAATCACTCCAGTACCTTACTTTAGAAGTATGCATGGTTTTAAAAAGTACCTAAAAAATATTCTTATATCATAATAGTTTATTAATGCTTAGCTTCAGTACATGTGTTACATTCTATCATTATTGTAGATATTATAATGCAGTCATAAACATGCATAGGCCTATTCTCAATTGTGTATATATTGCATTGAAAAAGCACCTTGTTTTATTCTGAAATTCAGCTGTACTTTCAGTCATTTACATTTTGTTTTTTTTCTCTTTTCTACCTTGTAATTATAGTTGTACATGTATGTAATTATTAACGTGTTAAATAAGGAACCAGGCCACGTTCAAGCATTTGCATTTTGCCTGGTATCCGCCATTTATCACCGTGGCCCTGTGCATATTTGTAAATAACTGTATGACATTATTTATTGTGATGTATAGAAATAAAACAATATCAATACCAATACCAACTATGTGCTGGGTTGCAAGAAATAGCTTAAAACCTAACAAAACAAAACAAAAACGCACAGACATGAGATAAAGACCCCCCCCCCCCTCAAAAAAAAAGGGGGGAAAAAATAATAATAAAAATAATAAAACTGAAAGTATTGGACACAACATATTGCCAGCAGCTTGCATGATTATTACTATTAGTAATTAAAGAAACAGGAAATTACAATTCCTACAAAGAGCCAAGGGATCCAGCTATATAAAAAAAGAAAAATTAATAAAAAGTCACAAGACAATGTAAGAAGTAGATTGATTTTATCCCTAACCTCCAAACTCCATCAAAAACAATTTCCCATTTTGGTGCATTTGGGGGGACTTGGTCCTGCAGGCCTGGTTCAGTGACTAAATATTGATGGAGTATGATGGAATGGAGGCCTAAAGCAAAGCATGCATTGGAAGCAGAGTGATTGATGGATTTCGGCGAACTTGCATAGTCCAATACTTGGTAAAAAACAGTTAGGGACATTTTTTGGGTGGTTTTAGTAATAATCATTGTAGCTTGAATAATTGCTCCCTTCTGGTAATTTTTTTGTGCTGTTAATAGTTCCCGCAGTAGTACGTTACATTTAATATCCCCTTTGGATTGATTAAAAACCATGTCGATTTAAGTCGCTTGAGGGGTACATGTAAACTAATATACTTCTGTCACAAAAGCAGAATAAACGGCAACATTTGGCCGCAGTAATTTAGTAAATCTCGCCTCCGGAGATAATCAGGCCTCCAGAGATAATCACAGTACATGTATTGGTGCTTTTAATACTAATGGCCTATAAAAGTCGTCACCGGTAAATGCATTTTTTTAAATTCACGCTAAGAATGCTTGATGCTTGTGAAAAGAAAATGGGTTGATGGCCAATGTCACTTTTTCACGGCCAGCCGTTTATAAATGGACACTCAAATTGTATCACTGAGTAAAAGCATTTTTCCATGGACTAAATCCGGCACGTACAATACAAAGACAATACAATGTACACGGTGTAACAAGCTTGTCATGCAAATGGCAAACGTTGTATAGGCTTTTTTTTTGCTAAATTCTAAAAGTTAAAAGGGCCTAAGTACAAAAGTGCATGTACAATGGACCAAGAACCTTTTTAGCTGTTTCGGAGTACATGCTCCGAAACAGCTTTTGTTTTCGTAATTTTTTTTTTTTTTTTTATAAATTTTAGTTCTCATTTTTTAGTCTCCTCTCCATACATTGTACATGTAGGTTTTGTACACATGTTTTCGTCTGCCCATACACTTTGGCACTTTCGTAAATCCGATGGACTTCAGACTTGGCACATACTTAGACCATCACCCACGGATGTCCTAGAAGAATTTTGTCACAATGACGTCATCAGGTGTCAAGTTATTAAACATGCATTTTGTGGCCATAGACTTTCTACACATTCGGAGTTCATGGTAAACTCAGGTTACAGGGTCTCACTACCTGTCCACAGAGGCCTCTTGGTCTGGACTGCAGACATGGCAGAGACGTCCTGAAGTTAATTCCCAAAAGAGGGAGGTAACGTACTGCTGTACTTTGACCCATATATGGCGGATTTCATATTACTTGTACTTGCAGTGTTGTTTTCTTGACTTTGGCCTTATTCAATATGTTTTATCAAACTGTTGATCCAATTTCCTTATTTTCAGCAAGTTCAATTCTTAGTTATACAGGTAGTACTTTGTTCTGTTTATTGTACCCATTAAAGATATAGTCCATCATTTGTAATGTGTGCATTTTGTTCGTTTGAAGCAACAAAAGAGTTCAAAATCTAATGAAGGATACTGAACAACTAACCTGATGAAGGTTCAGTTCAGCTTCAGCTGTATATTCCGAGAAAAACAGCATTCTGGGATCTCATTTCAAATCAAAAGTTGCCGAAACATGTTTTGAATTGGGCCTGAATTCAGTGTCCGAGACACGTTCTCACTGAGCTGATTGCAGCTACATGTATACGCGATGTCACGACAATTTTCAACAATAATTACGCCAGTTACTTTTCAGATTGCTGCAAATGATGGACTATAGCTTTAACAAAAAACTTGTCTACATTGTATACATGGATGTGTTACACATGAAAATCTAACAGACGGCGGTTATTTCAAACAGACGAAACAGCTTGTGTTTGTCCACATGTATTGTACACAATTCTAGTTTAGGATATTTCTTGTAAGAACTAAGAACATTTATGGAGAACTTTTTGGTAAACCAAGAACTTATTAATAATTGCTTGCTGTTACTAATGCACTTGCCAGAAGGGTCTGAATGTTTGCTATCAGCCCGATCTTTCTCAAAGGATGAACCAAGAATGTTTAAAATCAATTTCTAGTAAGAACCGAAAAACCTTTTTTTTGAGAACTTTGAAGGAACTAAGAATTGGGATGTGCATCGAAACCGGGTTCCCGAGCACCCGATCGTTGATGTCAGAAACCAGTTCCAGATTATGGAATCGAGAACTCTTAAACAACTTTATATTTTACAAAATGTACTTAGTAACTTCTCAGACAATGAAAAAGAAAGGTTTTTTATGTCATTTGTAGAGACTTTTCCAAATGAAAACCAGGCTATACGGGAAAACAAAACATATTTCATGTTTATGACGCTTGCGGAAGTTGCAGTTTACATCGTGAAGCTATAAAGCTCACTGTACACACTTGTATCTTGCTGTATTGATGCACTGATGTGGTAGTATTATCGTGCGGACCTTTATGAACAATCTGAACAGCAACTTCTGAGATTTGAATTTTATATAGTATCCGTGAATTTTTTTCAATCGGGTGCCTGGTTCCCACGCTACCCGTAAATGCACACCACTAACTAAGAACTTTGTCATGATTTGACCTTTATGAAGAACTTTTGCAAGAACCAAGAACTTTGTATTGAACTTTTTGCTACCATGGTTTCCCATCTGGCTGCCTAACTGGTGTTCAACTCCACCCACTTGGGGTTGCTTAACTTTTTAAAGAAAAGTTAAACTACAAAAAGTTACAACGAAACATTACAGGAAGAACCAAGTACATCTTTGAAGAACTTTGCCAAGTCCAAGAACTTTGCTTAGAACCAAACTTCTACTCACCATTTGGCTGCCTGACTGGGGTTCAGTTCCGCCCACCTTAGGTCGCTTAATCCACCATCCGTTGTCCTGGCAGTAAGCGTTCATAACGAGAAGGGGAAAGTACAGCAGCGTGACCCACGCCTCCCAAATTTCAACCTCGCCCGGCGAGTTCCAAACCACGACGATCAGAATCCAAATATAGGCAAAGATGGACCAGACCGAAGTCACCATAAACACGCCAAACTCCTTGACTTTCTTGGCGTCGGGCGAAGGCACACTGGAGATACATATAGCGGTGATGATAAGAAGATTGAAAGCGGCACTGCCGATTATGGTAAACGTTCCCAAACTGTCTTGGGGGTTGTTAGGGTCGTAGTCTTGCACGTGCTGGCACGTCTCCAGGATGTTCAGGAGGATTTCAGGGGCGCTGCTGCCTAACGCCATGAGAGTCAAGTTGGCCACGGTCTCGTTCCAGATGAGAACCTCTTTCTCCACGTGTTTTTTGCTCTCCGAGTCCCAGCGGAGAATCTTCCGCTTCTTGCTCGTGATCATTTCAATGCTGCACATGAAGATGTCGCTCACGATGGCGATGCCGACGAAAATATACAGCATGGCAGTGATGTAGAGAATACCGCGGAGAGGAACTGACCAGAGGTTTTCGGCCGGCAGCAGCAACCAACTCTTGCAGGGTTCTTGATTTGAAGGTACGTACTCCACCACCTGGCCATTGCTATAATTTGTGTAGTGGTTAACGAGCGTTTCCGACTGATTGTTGCCCATCTTGAATCAGCTAAAGCACAAAGACAGATAAAAGGACTGTTATTTTGAATAATTAGTACACATATTAACTCTAACTTCCTAGCATGATTTACTAGGAACCATGCATACCCTGGCAAGTTCCAACACCATATGGGAAACTGCACGCACATATTTCTGACTATGTTTCTGGAGGTGTGCCAACCCAATGTAAAAGACTGATAGTTAGTACTGTACCCATCCTGACAGATTCCAACAAAACATGCCATTGGGGTTTGATGGGTTGAGTTCTGTAAGGGTTAATCCTAAAGCCCGCATACATTCTAGAAGTTTGACAATTTTCAGATTACAGAAAGTTGGAAATGGTTTATCCAGGTATGGAAATTTGAGACTGATCAATTAAAAAAAATTGTTTTGCTTTGGATGATCTCTCTTCAGAAAAAAATATACAACAAATTTGTATTTTTTTGTGGATGAACTTAAAAAATTCTGTCACTTTTTCTTTGAAAACAAAAAGAAATAAGATGTGATTTAAAGCATATAAAGATCAACAAGTTATCTAGTTCACGCCAAAAAAAATATTCTAGAAAGGTTTTGAAACATCTTCAGAAATATCTAAGACATTTTACCTATTCCTACTGGTCGAAAGCCCGCCACGTGGTTGGTTTCATTAAACGGTTGATAAAACACCGACTGGTTTTGAACACTTTTTAAGGTACCGCTGCATTCTGCGGCACATCGCAGAATATCTCCATAAAAGGAGATTATATCTCCATATAAGGACATTTTTAGTACTACTCATGTGCGGTGCATACCATAAACATAGCCCGAGGGATGTTTAAAAAAACATTAAGTAAAATTGTTGATCAAAATTTTTGGAAATTTTTAATTTTTGAGTTTTATCTCCCTCAAAACGTAGACTTTGCAAAATAATACAGCACTGGCAGAAAATTAAACAATTTTTTTGCATTTCTTTTCATGTGCAATTCAAAATTCTTGTTATTAAAAAAGCACATTCTTCTTTAGATAAAATCTTGAGGAACAACTTCTTTTAATACCAATTTAGTAATCTTTGCACAATAGGTTCATTCAATGCACACATTAATTTTTATTTTGATGAGGCCGATTAAAAAAATAGAACAGTTTCTTGTCTGGGCTATTTGAGAAAAATGTGCATTTTTTTCTCTCCAAGATGGCAGATTTTCAAAGATTGCGGATTGATTCTTCAACTTTCTCAATTTTTTTGCTGATACAAAATTTGTGTCCTAAGGAGCCATTACCCTTTCTACATGCAAAAAAACCAAAAAGACAATAAATTGACAACAATTTACAAATATAGCAAATGTATGATTTCAAAAAAGGCAGGCAGGAAAAAAGGAAGTGGCCTAATGTCTAACAATATTATAGCAAATCATTGTCCACTATGAATTTCTTACTCATGTGATAAAAATAAGATTTTGTTTGCTTATAACATCTTTAGTTTGGTCATTTTCCTAGTGATACCAAATTTCACTTCTGAAAAAAAAATTCACTTTTTTTCTGTGACTTTACAGAAACATAAATGCAAGTATACCTCAAGTTCTCTGAGTTTAAACACAGGGAAATTGAAAAACAAAAGTCAAACCACCCCCTCCCCCCCAAAAAAAAAAAAAACAATAATAATAATAATAAAAATATAACTTTTTTAACATTATGCTTATTTCAACCAAAAGAAATGCTGTAAGTTAAGCAAACACAAATTAAGTAATCTTTGTCTATTTCCGATTTTTTGTAAACATCAATTATTTTCTTTTATTTATAGTTTTGCTGTTGAAAGATAAACAACAAACCAACAAGTAAACGGACAAAACATCAAACGAACAAAACAATACGATATGGGACTTTCATCCGAAATTGTGAAATAAAAAAAAATATAAAAACGATACGGTGCAACTTCGGGGTGTGAAATTTTGGAGCGAGTCACAGCCATATCCGGCCGCGGGGAAACGGAAGGAAATCCCCCATAACGGAAGACCTTTTTTCTCGGTGATTGCACGGACCATCGCGATGTTACGCAACGTTGCCACAGCTAATGCATTTGCGTATTTGATTTTTAATTAACGCTAATGATAAGTGCATTTGTTCAGCAACATAATTGGGCTTTCGTTCTGAAGTAATTTAAATGTGGAAATCACACATTTTCAGTGTATCAAATAACGGTGGAATTATCAAGCCACGTTAACATTACAATTTTTTTTACAAAATATATCGACTTTTTGCCATCTTTTTCTTTAAAAAAAGCAAAAACTCTCATCAATTTTCCTTGCATTTATGAAACATGTTTCGAATACCGTTTCCAAATCAAAGATAAGTCCATCTGCAACCAAACAGCAGACCTACCTTTTGCCACTTGCAGAAAAGCGAGATCATTAATTCCTTTTTCCCCCCCACAGAATTCTGGCAAAAAATATTTGCCACTCGACTAAACTCCAATATCCGATCCTCTCACTCAGCGCGCGTTGCCAGAGTCACCTGCGGGAAACTGGCTCCGAACACCCCATCGCTTGTCCGCTCCTGCCACGCTAACTGCACACGAAGACTCCGTTGATCCGCAAACCGAACAATCCTTGACACCATCCTCAATACATCCGTTCAAAAAACGTCTTCACCATTTTCCCTGTTAAAAAACAATCCAACGTCGTGCAAGAGAAACGGTTCCTCTATATGTCAACCTTTTAGATTTTCCTCATGTATTTTAGCCTTTAATTTCATCGCAAAATATTGTTTCCATGTTGGAGAGCACAAATTTTTTAAGTTGCACAGCTCGCATCTTAGAGAGTCTACTGATGCTGTGAAAGACTTGTTTTGCATAATCGACGACCACATAAAATACAAAATCCACCTCTTCACAATTCGATGACAATAGAAGAACCTGGGTCGCCAGTGCAGCCCCCAGCACACACAGAGACAGTTTATTGGAGAATTGATCGGTAGTCAGTTATACACACACGTTGTCCGTGCGTTATGTTTGATACCGCCTTCATCAACGTGCGTGCTATCGGAGGTTGTGTACATGTATGTACCGCCCGCCGTCAGCGTCGTTAAGGCTGACGTCATTGTTAGCAGATTATTACTGGGATGGCGCAACAAGGAAGGGGCCGATTATAAGGGTCGGGTTAATTGTTGTGAAAACACGTTTATAAACAATGTGAATTGGCAAATTTCTATGTTCCAGTGGCGGTATAAAAAAAAAGATAATTTGCTTTTTTCCCCCATCAGCGTCATAAATATTAAGGTTTTACCCAGGAAGTTAACATGTTTGGAATGGGAATGGCAATAACGGGTATAGGAATGGGATTGGGAATGGTAACGGGTATAGGAATGGGAAAGGGAATGGAAATGGAGGGGAGGGAATAGTAATGGGAATATGAATGGGAATGAGACTGTTAATGGGGGAGGAATTGGGATATACGTCGGAATAGGAAAAGGAATGGCAATGAGATTATGAATGGGAGTATAGGGATGGGAATCGGAGTGGGAAGAGACTGTGAATGGGAATATGCATACTGCATAGGAATGACATTGTAAGTAAGAATGGGAATGGAATGGGAAACAGATTGAGACAGTGAAAGGGAGAGGAATGGGAATAGGAATAGGAATGAGATATGAATGGAATGGGAATGGGAAGAGACTGTGAATGGGAATAGGAATAGGAATGAGATTGTGAGTAAGAATGGGAATGGAATGGGAAACTTAGATTGAGACTGTGAAAGGGGGAGGAATGGGAATGGGAATAGGAATAGGAATGGGAACGAAACTGTGAATGGGGGTAGGATGGGAATGTGAGATTTTGACCATTGAAAATGACGACTTGAAAATCGAGTCTGCTCAAATAAATTGCAAACCATGGACAACTTTGGCCCTTACTAAAATAAAGTCTAAATTTAAAATGAAGTTCTATAAATTTGATATGTTGGTGCGTAATTAAGGTCCCCATGTACACAAAGCTCATTGTGCCTTGTCAAAAGTGATCTAAAGATGATAAAATGAGAATTAATTTACACAGAAAAACAGCACTTATGGTTTTCAGTGAAAACAATCTATGTTTTATAAAAAACACATTGGGTGGGTGAGTGTCACTAACTGGCCACCGTAAGCTGAAATGCAGATAGAATATCAGCTTCTTTCCCTGCGAACGAAAGAGAGGCTAATATTGCAAAGCCAAAAGAATCTTTTCTGTTTGTACCATGCAACAACGGAACAAAATGGCGACTACACGAAAACTTGCAAGGCTGCTTTTTGAGCGCAGTTTTTGCGGTTTGACCGAAGCCTAACACATCCGTAAAGCGGCTTTCGCGAAGAAAAGCTTACATGGGTTCTAAAGACGGCTTTTGACTGGCGCGGCTTTTATAATAAGAAGCGGATTTGAATGTCCTAAGCGCCAGTACATCTTGCGAGCAGGCTGGATTAAGAATCCGCCCTTGAAGACTTTTTCTAGACCGTTATATTCGGAGATTAATCTCATTGATTTCGAGATTTAAGGCTTTAGTGGCAAAACATTGTCCAATTTCGACAGGAAACGTCACACGAGATCTGAAAATGTTATTTTGTTCTGATCTAAGCATATATCCCTTTGGAACACTTGTGCCAAAATGTCAAGACCTTTAAAACTCCAGAGAGTAAATCACAGCAGAAAAGCTAGCTCTCAAAAAACAAATTCTTAAAAAAAACCGTGACGAAATGGCGCACTGACGTTTTGGTCCAAAAATCTATATTGAAATCAAGTTTAGACTGTGCAACTAATCCAATTCTCTCTCTTTTTTTTTTTGTATTTTTTTTCTTTGTCTGTTGTCCGTATGTCTACTGCAGGTAACTGACGACTGCCGGGACGGGATGAGACGGGGCTGGTCCAGTTTGATAATTTGCATAGTTTTAATTTTAAATCTAAAAATTAATGTGGCCTGACGTTGCGAACTTAGCAAGTTCTTCTTCAGAGGCTAAAACAGAAATGACAGAGGTACATACATTAACATGGGGGTGCAAAAGAAGGAACAAAACAAAACACAATGAAACTTACATGTCAGCAAGGAGGATCACCACGAAGGGATACTGCAACAGAGAAGTTGGAAGAACTTGCTAAGTTCGCAACGTCAGGCCACATTAATTTATAGTTTTCAGCAGTCTTACTTTTTTCAAGTTTTAATTTTAGTGTTTTTGTGTGCATGTTTCATGCTTGTGCTCTTTTGTGGGCCCTGTCTTGTGATGTTTGTGCGCGTGTTGAAGTCAAAGGCTTTCTTTCCAAAATGCAATAATGTGTTCTGGTGCTTAGCTGTGAAAATAGTTTCTTTCTGAAAAAAAAACCAACAAGGTGATTGGTTAAGTACTGTATAAATAAACTTTATATATTCAATTTGACTTAATAAATAAACAACCAAAGAATACGAGTACTAATTTAAGACGCACATATACAGACAGCCACAGAAAATGTAATGCATAGTACTACTGAATTTGTAGGGACAGAGATTTAACAAGGTAAAAAAAAACACCTTGAACGTGGGCAATTCTCCTGCGTCAATTTTTATACCTAATACACAGGATACAGAATGTCACTTCTGAAGACACGCATAAGTGGTGCGGTTGAGTTTAAAGCAATATAACAGATGTAGGGCGTCCGCGTTTTCTACAGAGAATATTTTGGGACCGCGTTGTGAAACGCCTACTTTCAGACAAAAACAGGATCGATCCGAATCTCAATGTGCCTCTTCATGGTATCAACAGAGCAACAAGCCAGGAATATCGATGTCTTTTGGGAAAACTACAACATTTGTTGAAGGTCACGGGGCGTCAAAAATCCCCAACGAGAATTATAATTGTTCTGCAGATGCAGACCACATTCTTATGCCTGGTTTTGCAGTTACCATCAACTTTGTGGGGCTGGGGACGGTCGAAATTCCCACGAACTAGACTCCAAATGCTCCTTAAGGGGAATGATACAACATTTGCAAACATAACAAAAACGAAATGATCCAATTCTCAGGAAATACCTCACTGGAATGTTAGGGAATGACAGTCTAAAGCATGCTGTAAAATCGTGGCTCCTGGTGTGCTGAAATTTCTAAGAAAAATAGTATTTTTCCAACGCTGGTCAGCCGTCCAGCGTTGGAGAAAACTGGCTTTTTTTTCTCAAAAACTGCTCCTATTTTTTCATATTTAGTTGTTCTGCATTTTCTTTGCAATTGATTACACACCTGTGAAGGAGTGCAAGCCTGCTAGACTGTTACTGACCTTACAAAAATTCCCAAGGTCTATAAATTGCTCCGTTTCATCTTAAGAGGGGTCAGGGAGGCAGACTACAAGAACATGATTGGTTTTCTTGGTTTTCCGGCATCTCAGAACCCAAAACGTGAAAAAAGTCAGTTTAACAATATTTGCTATAGCATACTAATACTCCAAATCCATTTATTTCTCAAAATGGGCAAAAGCAAAATGTTGTACATTCCTATACCTTCCCCACAAACACGATTCCGATTAGGGCACATGTATTTCAACAACTACTGGCAAGCATTGGGGCCGTATTTCACTATGGCACTGCTTAACAAACAAAATATATAGTACTAAGAAATTTCCAGTACTAAGCAGAAATCAGCTGGGTGCCAGGCACATGCTGTATAAATCTATAATGACATTTTCGTTGGTAACCTGTTTTGTTGAGCACTAGCTTTCGGACTTAACCAATTTCTCTGCTTACAGCTCCATTGAAATTTGCCCATGTCTTGTGCTCGGTAGCTCACAGTAAATTTTACGCTCAGTTTCTCTATGCAAAACATTCAGACACCTTCTAAAGGGACGATATTCTTTAGCAATTATTTATCAGAGTTCGAGATGGGTTTGGGAGGGCTGAATGGGGTCCGGAGGGGGGAAGTTTTGGGTATCAAAGGAGGGGATAAGGAGTAACAAACAGATCGATATTCCGATATCGATCGGACATTCAGCCTGGATTTTTTTCATTTGAGTGTTGGTCAGCCTTTTTTGGTCGAGACTAAGGACCGGTTTTTGTATAAGACTGACAGGGAAATAAGGGGCTTGCTATTGAGTTTTTAAGCTTGGCAGGAGCTTCTTCTTGTCACTTGGTGGTCGGTCGGTCGGATGGTCTCTCTCTCTCTGTCCGTCCCAAGAAAATTGCCCAAAAATACGGTTTTCCCTAAATGCCATCGGATCATCATTGATCGATTTCATGCAAGACTGCACTCGCACTTGACGGATTTGCATTTAACTTTTATGGTACAAAATAAAATGTGCACATGGTCCATGGAATGTAGTCGGCATTCCAAGACAGTGGGCAAAAGTTTGTGAGGAATTAGGTTTCGTGTTTTTATCCATCCTTATCTTTTGTACTTTTGTAACTTTTTTAAAACTCATTCATTCATTAAAGTATCGTTGGATAACAATCAGGATTATTGTCATATTTTATATATATGGTTGGGATAAACTAACAGGTGTTGTGTCTATTCTAATTGATTGAGTCAATTTTATTTAATTGTTTTTAATTCCTACAACATCCTACAAAGGAAAACGCCTATAACATGATGGATGGAAACAATTTGATTAAATAAAATTATTTTAATTATAAATGAATATTAACTGTTGGAATACATTACTACAGATGTATGGATGGGATGGTCCTGCATAATGTGAGTGCGCGCCCAAAGAGTGATGTATCTTTTTATATAGTAAGGCAGACAATAAAAGTAATAATATCGGAGTCTTATATAGCGCCCGTATCTACCAACAATTAGGTACTCAAGGCGCTGGAAATTATGTCTATTATTCAAGACAGGTAAATGAAGTCTATGAGAAATGTGAGACCCATTATGTAGCACCTTATTAATGGTTTACAAGGTGCTGCGGTGCATATTGCAGCCACTGCCAGAAACACCGGGGCAAACCCCTTCTCTTAGCGGTAAGTGTTACTGGTTTCTTTAACGTGCATTACACAACACACGGGACCTACGGCTTTACGTCCCATCCGAAAGATGAAGC